GGAAATTGGAATGGGGTGGACTGACCTTTCGGGTCCCTTTGGCTCTAAAGTACTGGGATGCAGAAAGGCCAAGATGCATCATGTGCATCCTACCAAACCCAAAGAATGAGACAGGCCAGGGATTTGTACTTTCGTTTTCCTATGAACAACTATATTATATGACTATTCAAGGTCATAAATTAGTGATCCCTAAATGTAGGACTGGGATTCAGATTTTTTCCTAGCTTATAACTCTTTCCAGTAGATATTAATACCAAATGCTCAATCCTGGCCTTGAAAATCTCTAATCACAATATCTTAATGAAACTCGTATATCTCAATTCTTCTATCAGACAGATCTTATAATATTGGCATTTTCTTTTTCTACCTCTAATCCCATACGCTGAAGCTGGTTGATTACAATGCCTCAAGTCTCATCCTGGATTTTTCACACATACCTCATTTCTTTAATCACAAGGGAGCAAGACTTTGGTTTTATTATCCCTCCCACACAAACTAAAAGCTAGTGTCAGGGAGTAGTTATGCAACTAAAAGAATGCTACTAATTCATTATGCCTGCACATCTATAGTACACCAACAAAACTGGGCTTCAGAGTTTTGTGTCAGTGAGCCATACCTCAATTTGCTTGTTTCTACATCAATATTCTTTGTATCTGATTGGCATTTTTTGCCTATATGAGCTAGAAATTCTTTGAGGGCAAAAAATAGGTCTCCAAGAACCCCTAATTTAATATGATGCATATTTCTTGAAGTGGTCATGCACAAAAAAACAAAATAAAAATGAGAGTTATTCAGTTTCTGAAATCTCAGGCCCTTACAAAGAATAGCATTTTTTTTTCTTTTTTTAGGAAAAAGACGTCTAGAGGCTAAAAGCTCTGCCTCGTATGTACGGCACTATGAAGAAGTAAAGATTTGGGCAGGGGAAGGGAGAGACTGCAATCCCTTTGGATTTGCTACAAAATATTTTTAAACCACTGGTGAAAACATAAGTCTTACATCTATTAAACTGTACAGTGAAGAAAGGGAAAATACCGTATGCAACTTCTACAATCATCCTTGATGTTTAATAGCTCTTTTCACTCCTTAGAAACATACCTTTTCCCATTCTGAATTGGCATTTTCTACAAGTAGGGAGAGGATATCTTGAAATTCTTTCCGAATGCAGGCCTTTAGTTTTTCAAAATATTGCACAGACACCCATTGTGAAGAACAAGTCGACACGAGTTCCGAAAGTTGCTTGTTGTCTGAGCCACTGACATGCTCCTTTTGGGTGTCCTTTAAGAGAAATTCAAGCACGGTTAGAATGTCTTCCTCATACTGACAGATTTCCAGTTGGATCCGCCTGGCTTCCTGCAGAGCCCACTCTCTGCGACCCTGGTCTAGACATGTTTGTAATTCTGTCTCCTTCTGAAGAAGCAGTTCAGTTTTTTGTTTCACAAACTCTTCTTTAGCTGCCGCAAGCACCTCATTAATTTTATTTCGATGATCATCTAAAAATTGCCGGTAATCTTGCTCATTTTGTTCTTGAATTCTGTGGATTTCTTCTTGCTTTTCTTTGTTCCATTCGCTCCGGGCCTTAGCCAACTCGGCCCTGACAACCACAGGGACTTCCTCGTTCTTTAATTCTAGCTCTCTCTGAAGAGAATGAATCTTCTCTTCCAGTTCCTTCCCGGGTGTTACATTTTGCTTCATATTTCCAAGCTCGCTTTTCCATTTCTCTTTAGCTTCAGAAACAGCAAACGATATCTAAAGGACATAACAATTGTACATTAAAAGTCTTTAAGATTCTCCTCATTAATGAAAAAATTAGACTCAACCATGCTGGCACTCTGATCTCAGACTTCCAGCCTCCAGAAACTATGAGAAATAAATTTCTGTTGTTTATAAGTTAAAAATAAATTAAAAATATTTTTTAATTAAATTAAAGTAACTATTTGGGTTAACCTCTGAACTTAGTATGAGATTTCAAATCAAAATTAAGGGGAAACAGTCAATTTAGATAAGACATTATTCCTGAAACATTCTTACACTATCCTTAAGGATCTTTTCCTTCATTTTAAATCGCTTAATATTTTATGTCTTACGTTATTTAAAAACAAAATATCAGTTTCTTGATGGAGAACTAGAAGTTTAAACTGACCAAAAAATATATATATTATATAATTATCCAAAACTAATTCTAGAAAAAATCTATATCAGGTTTTTTATACAGATGCAGTCTCCAATTTTACCTAAGTCCCGAACAAATTAAGTATCTTTTACATGAAGCAAAAGCAGCCTCAGAAGGAAATCTTACTATTATTTAGAAATATAATACATACCTGCATAATTACTTGCTGACAAACATAATTAGATTTTAATGAAATTCTAGTGGCTAGAACAGTTTATTAAATGACAATAACAAACAAAAAAAGTCATATTTTTTCTTAATCTAATTTTCTTTTATAACAGAAGAGGAATAGTAGATCATAGAAAACAATAATACATAACCAAAAAAGTCACAGGGCATCAAAAAGCCTGGGTGATAGCCCCAATCCTGCAGTTGATTGCAGAGTACAGTGTGGTACTTAACAGAGCAGCCTCTGGAATCAAACTGCTGGAATTAACACCTGTGGGGCCTCAGGTCCATCCCTCAGCTTCTTTGAGCCTCAGTTTCCTCATCCATAAAATGAAGATAATTACAATGCCCACCTGATAGAGTTATTTTAGGATTAAATGACAAAAGGAGATAATCCATTTAAAGCACTTAGCTCAGAGCCTGGCAGATAATAAGGACTGGATAATGTTATGTAGTTATTCTTGCTTTTGGCTGTTTGGCTTTCGAAAAGTCAATCTGTCTAGCACTTAGGGTCTTCATCTATATAATGAGCAGATTGGATAATGACCTTGAGTCCCTTTTACTTCTAACATTCCCTGACTGAATCCAAAGAAGGCACAAGAACCCAACAGTGTTAAAAGATGAAATAGTGCCATTTGCGACAACATGGATAGGTCTTGAGATTATTATTATGCTAAGCGAAATAAGTCAGACAGAAAAAAATCAAGAACCATATTATTTCACCGATATGTGGGATATAAAACTGAAAACAGTAAAGAAACAAGACAAACAAATGACGAAACAAAAACTCATAGACACAGACAACAGTTTAGCGGTTACCAGAGGGTAAGTGGGGAAGGGAGTGGTAGATGAGGGTAAAAGGCGATCAAATAGACTCTGGGTGGTGAATATATAGATGATGTACTACAGAATTGTACACCTGAAATCTATGTAACTTTACTAACAATTGTCACCCCAATAAATTTAAAAAAAAAGAAAAAAGAATACATGGGCATCTCCACAGGCTTGGCCTAGACAACGGTGACTGCTATTAATCAATGCTATACATGTGTTCTGAATGCTGAAATAGGATATCTGCTTAATAAATTTTCTGCTATTATATAATTACAGCAAATATCTTCACCTATATAGCCTTGTAAACACACATTATATACCTTTATTCAATAGCATGTGTTCTTGAATAGTTGCACATAATAAAAAAATTTTGAATTGTATTTTAGTTTACTAAAGGCACCCACTATCTAAGATAAGCTTTATATAAGAATTCACAGTAAAAATTCTTTTGCTACCAGCAGAATAATTCAGTAGTGAGATGAAACATGTTTAAAGAATGCTTTTAGAGAAAACAGGTCATGTCACAATGGATGCCTGGAAATCATTACCAGGTGACTTGGGTGGAGGTGGTACGTCCCATGGAATTTGGATGGCTGGCCCAATCTCACCCAAAGTGCACATCCTCTCACATGAAGTTTTATAAGGAGAAGTTGACAACATTTATTGACTCAGTGGTTCCCAAGGTCGTTGCACTCTAGAATCACTTTAGGAGCTTTTAAAAATCCTAATGCCCAGACCACACCCCATACCAATCAAAACATAAAAATTGGGAGTGGGACCCAGGCAACATTATTATTTTTTTTTAAAGATCCAAGTTTTTCCAATGTGCAGCAAAGTCTGGGAACCACCAAACCAACTTGACTACTTCTGGACTCCCGAAATTGGCTCTAAATTCCCACAGATCTTGTTGATCACTCTAATCCTGCAAGAACTAACTCTCTGGCCGATGCTATGAACTTGGCCCTTGTTCACCCCCTTTGGTTTGAGGATGATACACAACATATTAACATCACATTTTAATGGCAGAATAATTAACTTGAATAGTGCTATTCCCACTCACATGTGGTCCAAAGACCAGTAGTGTCATATCACCTGGTAGCCCTTTAGAAATGCAAATTCTCAGGACTCACTCCAGACCAACTAAATCGGGATCTCTAGAAAAGCCCAGGAATCTACTTTAACAAACCCCCCAGCTGATTCTCAAGCTGGTGCAAGTTTGAGAAGCAATACACTGTCTCTCGTTTCTAGATTTCTGTATTTACATACATTTAGGCCTTCTGTATTCTTAAGGAAAGATCTCTTGCTTCTTTTATTTTCTATATTCTACCCAACTTTATTATTCTTCTTGACGTCTGAGCTCTGAGACACATATGCACACCATTAAATTGTTTCCTCTTTTTCTCTCCTTCTTAAATTTCCTTTTGAAATATTTCAACATACTAAACAGTATAGAGAATAATATATACCCAGGTACTGCCACATAACTTAAGAAAAATATTAAAATAGATTTTTACTCATGTTGAATTATTTCCTTAAGTAATTTGTGGAATTAAGATTATGAATACAATGCATGAATTGTTTACAATGTCTGTTATGCACATTATTTTTCAAAATGGTTGTAATATTGGAAGAGTAGAGCACGCTTGACACTGCAATCTATTATATTTTCTGTATTACAAAAAAGAAGAGAGGATTTATACATGTGACATAAAATGGCACCTTAAGTTTGTTTGGGTTTGCATGTATCCAATCTGGTAGGTATGAACATTATTCCATTGGTTTTTCACCATTTGGGTTTCTCATGAAGATTATTTGTTAATATCCTACACTTATTCATAGATGCTTGTTTTCCTTATCATATATTAATGTTAATATTTCTCACATTTGATTCATTTATTTTCCTTATTTTTATTATCCTCTTTTGTTATTTTGTATTACAAAATGTTTGTACATATTTTATCCTATTACTTTATCTTTGCTACTGTGTTTGTTGTCTCAAAATTTATTACGCTACAGATCTGAAATATTCAATTTCATTAAAAAAATAAATAACTCCTTAATCAACCTAGATTATATTGTGTTGCAGGGGGCAGATAAACAACTTTTCCAAAGTATTATCTGGCTATCATAAGGCTATTATAAGATTATTTGTCATTCTGTTGTTTTGAACAATTTAGTAAGCTTTTATTCATAGTTGGGCCTAACTCTGAAGTCTGTATTTTACTGAATGAAAAAAAATTCTAGATTTATAACTCAATACTATCTGAATTGCTGCTTTCCAAATTATTCTGTGTTAGGGCTGGACTACTACAACTTTTCTAGAACATTAAAAAAAAAATCTCTAGTCCTTTTAGTTTTCCAAATAAATTTTAGAATTATTGTGTAAAATCTTAAAACTATGTTCAGTTGGCATTTCAATTAGAATTAATTTACATTAGTAAATTAATTTGGGAGAACACAAATGATTATATCTGATGTTTCTAGTCAACAAAAAGGACATCTCAGGAAAGGAGAGTTGGCTATTTATCAAGGAGACGTCTTATAAAGACTTCTGACACAACACAAAAAAATCTTTAAGCACATGAAAAAATATTGTATAGTTAATAATAAACAGATAAACCCTTATACTCAACTTCTCCCAAAAATATGGCAAGACAGAATTTAGTTTCACAGTTAAGATTATCTTCCTGATTGAGTTTTGAGACCCTAAAATGCATTTTCTGTTCCTGAACAACTCAATGATGATGAGAATGGATACCACTAAGCAGGCCCTGAACTAATGCTTAACATGTGTTAGCATATTTAATCCTTCAACAACACTGTAAGTGGCATCAATTCCCAAGACTGAGATGAGTTAAGAGGTCAGGAGAGAGGCCCTCCTGAAGCTTCCTTCCAGGAGAGTTCTTACCCGTTTGGCCACAGACATCTCTTGTTGTTCTTCCCACTTCTGCTGTTCTGCTCTTACACGTGCTTTATACTCTGCCAGCTCAGGCAGTTCTTTTAGCCATCGATGACGAGCATTTTGCACAGCTGTTTCTACCTATAGGATATGGCAAGATTAAGAGGTGAAGTGAGGTATAAAATGTCAAAAGGATCCCATTTACAACTAGCAACTATGATTTCATGTGTATTTTACACTTCACTGCACTACATTACAGTTATAACAGACTTCAAGTACCCCACCTCATCCCAAACGGTGGATTCTAATCCTTCTGTTCTAAACTTCCCATACTGTCTCATGCAAATGCCACAGCAGGAAACAGGAATGTATAAATGTCTGATAGCCGGTACTAGTTTAGAAAGCTTTATACGAAGTGCCAATTGCCATTTCCCCATTTACCTTGGGAAAAAGACGAGGCACACAGGAA